GTGTGTCTGTGTCTGTGTGTGTGTGTGTGTCTGTGTGTGTGATAATAGTTTGGTGACACACTTCCTCAACAAGAACCTCTCAAAGGGGTCGTGTTTGAAACGGCAGCAACAGCACCACCCTCTCCGCTGGTCCTGAGTGTGTGTGTGTGTGTGTGTGTGTGTGTGTGTGCGTGTGTGTGTGTGCGTGTGTGTGTGTCGAACCAGGTCACGCACCAAATGAAGCAGCAGAGGGAAACTCCGCCTCCTGAGGTGCGGCGGAGGGAACCTGCTCTCGTCGTCACGGTAACCGCGTCACAAACAAGCTGCCGCCCCGTCAGACCTCGCACAGAACCTTTGGGTCAGCACTCACTGCTTCAGAACTTCCGATTCACATCAAAGTGCTTCAACCCAAAGTACTTCACTGGCCGCTCAAAGTACTTCATAAGCGGTGCGCCGGGAAGCGCAGGTTGTCGGTTTGAACCCCGGCTGATCCATGTGCCATGTGTGAAGTGTCCCTGAGCGAGACACCCAACCAGCTGCGTGGAGCTACGGGTTAGAAGTACAATGTAAGTCGCTGTGGATAAAAGCGTCAGCTGAATGACCTGTAATGTAATACAGCTCAAAGTACTTGAATACATCTCAAAGTACTACATTTACCTGTATGATCTCTACCACCTACGTGTGTTTTTAATATTGACATATTTATATACATGCATTAATGTTTATTATTAATGTCTACCCATCTACACAGCCACATATATATATATATATATATATATATATATATATATATATATATGTATTTGTACACATGAATATTCCGTCTCCATAACGAGGTGAAACATGAAACGAAGCGACTTCTTTTCCCTCTTTGTCACTTTTACATCTTTTGTCGCCTCAAACGACGAATTCACAGAAAGTGAATTTTACATGAATCTAAAGTCTCTGTGTGTGTGTGTGTGTGTGTGTGTGTGTGCGTCCCCCCTCAGTCTCTTTTCCCACCCCTCCGAGTTAGTGTGTGTGGTCCCGCCCCCTTTTATATCTGTGTCATTACTCCTGCGTATGGGGGGTTCTCCTTTTGTAGCGGGTCCAACTTGGCTCTGCTGTGTGTGTGTGTGTGTGTGTGTGTGTGTGTCGCAGGTGCAACTAGGACAGGATTCGCTCCCGTGAATATTCATCGGGGGGCAAAACAGAAACACTAAACAGGACGCTGACGCTGTAACGGATTCTTTTTGCACTTTTGTTTTCATCTTTTTTATTTGTTCATTCAATGAGTTTCAACTTGGGAAAGTTCATGTACTGTCTCGTGGAAGTACTAATGCCATACGGTAATACACGGTATTATTAGTAGTACAGTATGAAGTATCACAGTACATTACAGAACATTTAGCCGATGCTTTCATCCAAAGCGACTTCCATCTTTAACACATGTGGTTTGGTGTCTTGCTCAGGGACACGTGGGGCAGCCGGGGCTCAAACCACCAACCTTGTGGTTCCCAGCGAATCCTCTCTACCGCTGCACCACGACGACCCCCCTCTGATAGGTAGTACACTATAAAGTACTATGTACCACTGAGACGTAGGAGAGTATTTCAATAAGAAGTAGGAATACAACACGTATGAATAGTACATATGTATAAGAAATACATAAACGAGGACTATAGTCAAGGGTTCTATCATGTTTACTTAAGGGTTCTATCGTGTTTACTTAAGGGTTCTATCATGTTTATGTAAGGGTTCTACATGTTTAGTTAAGGGTTCTACATGTTTACTTAAGGGTTCTATCGTGTTTACTTAAGGGTTCTATCATGTTTACTTAAGGGTTCTATCATGTTTATTTAAGGGTTCTACATGTTTACTTAAGGGTTCTACATGTTTAGTTAAGGGTTCTATCGTGTTTACTTAAGGGTTCTATCATGTTTATTTAAGGGTTCTACATGTTTACTTAAGGGTTCTACATGTTTAGTTAAGGATTATATATATTTACCTAAGGGTTCTACATGTTTAAGAGTTCTACATGTTTACTTAAGGGTTCTACATGTTTACTTAAGGGTTCTACATGTTTAAGAGTTCTACATGTTTACTTAAGGGTTCTACATGTTTACTTAAGGGTTCTACATGTTTACTTAAGGGTTCTAAATGTTTATTTAAGGGTTCTAAATGTTTATTTAAGGGTTCTACATGTTTACTTAAGGGTTCCACATGTTTACTTAAGGGTTCTACATGTTTAAGGGTTCTACATGTTTACTTGAGGATTATGAGTTTCCTCCTCGTCACTTGATATTTGTCGCTGGCAGCGCTTTACAAGAAGCATCGTGGGGATTTAAAGTTTAATCTGCGGCTTGAGGACGTCTAACGGGCTCAATGTGTGATGCTAAGCTAAGCTAGCCGCTCCTTTGAAACGCGATGAGTGAGCAGCTTTAATGGCTCCAATGTCACAACGCTTTACTTACTAACACAAGTACCCACATGCACAGTTATATATATATATATGTATATATACACACACACACAGTGCAGTTACTTGTAAACGACTGTTGTTCAGTAAAAAGTAAAACATGTGTTTCACATTGAAATAAAATATATTAAAAACTTTTGAGGAAACAGTTTCTTTCATTTTGACGACAAACATCTCCAGAGAGAAGACGAGAATCCTCCTCAGCTGAATCAGCACTGTGTGTGTGTGTGTGTGTCCTCAGGCTGTGTGTGTGTGTGTGTGTGTGTGTGACAGCAGCTTAAGTCACTTTGTAAGAGACATCTCAACACACACACACACACACACACACACACACACACACACACACACACAGAGAGCATGAGTATGTGTATGAGCATGAGTATGAGCCTGAGGACGCTTTTATTTTTCCGTTGACACATTAAAAGAAATCCCCACAGAGGCAGACGCACACACACACACACACACACACACCGTTTGAGGACACACACACACACACACAGCCTCGTTGTGCCGATTCCGCACTAAAATAAAATGTTTCTTCTTGTGGTTGAAAGGTTCTTCTCGCTGACTCGATGGATCACATGACCAGATTATTAGGACCTCAGATCAATAATGTTCACTCATCACTCTACCTGAACACCAGTAACCATGGAGACACATGGAAACGATCAGTGACACAATAGTGTGAGTGTGATGCGTGTTATTAATATTATTGAATTAACAGCAAGAATCTTTATTTAAAACAACACAGTTTACGAGGAACAACAGAAATATTTCAGTGGAGGTGAAACCAGCTGCTGGTCTGTCACAAACACACACGCACACACACACGCACGCACACACACACAAACAAACAAACACACACAAACACACATCTGTCCTTCGTCAGCAGACATCTGGATCTCCTTCCTGCCTCCTCTGACTCTTCTTCATGGGTTTCCTTTCCCTCCTTTTGGGTTCTGAGAGGGGCGGAGCCGGGCTTGTACCCGGTGGGGCGGGGCTTAAACCAACAGGCGGCCCCTTTGACAAATCGGAGACGGGGACGTGTTGAGGGGCTTCGACGTCAGCGAGTGGAAAGCTTTCAGGGAATTCAGCCACCTGGAAGTTGAAAATGATTATTTATTTATATATTATTATATTACAAGTTTGACGGTTTGCAAAATTAAATTTAGGTTGTAGTGCAGAAATAATGACAATTAAAAAAAAAGAATAAATGAATAAAAATCATAATGAATCATCATTCATAATAATAACAATAATATTAAATCAATACATTCAAATTAATAACTTAAAAGTAAATGAATAATTAATATGCAATGTGTTACAATTACAAACATACAATGTTCTTTACGTTGTGTCTGTTCTTTATCAAAGCGATTGAAGTGAAACGATGAGCGAGCGCCTCACGGGGACGTAGGCGAGGTTGTCACGGAGACAGACGTCCTGCAGCTCGCCGCGCAGCGCGGTCACGTGACCCCGGTAGGTGGAGACTTCCTGCTCCAGCCAGTCGATCCTGGAGCAGCAGGTGTGGTAGAGCAGAGCGACGGAGGAGAGCAGGCCGCGGCACGCCGCCACCTCGGGAGCTCCCATGATGCTCTCGGCGCCGCTGGGCTCCAGGTGTTCCCTGGGTAACGGCAGGGGGCGGGGCGGGGCCGACGGAGAGCGTCGTGATTGGAGGAGACGCTCCCTGACCTGAAGACCGGGCGGCACGTCACGTGGTGTTCTACATGTATGTAGATATGGATACGTAAAGAGACTCCACCTCGCTGCAGCTGGTCTCTGCGGCCGCCATGCTGCCCATCAGATGCTCTCTGCGTCTGCGAGGGACGGAAGGTCACAAAGGTCACGCGGAACACGGCGTGGGGGACCGGTGGAACAGGTGAGCCTTACCTGGCGGCGCCCCTCAGCTCGTCCTCCAGCTGCCTCCTCTCCTTCTGGACCCCCGACAGGTGCTTACCCAGAATCCTCAGCGAGCGCTCCTTCCGACTCACCTCCTTCCGAGCCTCCGACAGAGACTAGAGAGAGACGCATTAAAATGAGCTCACCTGTCGTCACATCACCTGCATTTATACTACAGTCAAAAGGACGATTACTGCGTCGCTGAGAGGTCACTGCGAGGTCACTGAGAGGTCACAGCGAGGTCACTGAGAGGTCACTGAGAGGTCACAGCGAGGTCACTGAGAGGTCACAGCGAGGTCACAGCGAGGTCACTGAGAGGTCACTGCGAGCTGGACACCGTTTCAGATTAAAGACTTCTTCCTGATGAACATTGGTGTGGTTCTTCCTTAGAGGCCTGGCTTGTAGTACCTGAGAGGTGAGGCTCAGCGTACATGAGAGGCGTGGCCTAGCGTACCTGACAGGTGAGGCTCAGTGTGCGCTGTGTGTCGCTGTGTGCGTCCACTCGGAGCTGCAGCTGGTGGAGCTTCTCCGTCTGCTCCTGGATGAGCGCCTGGGCCTCCTGCTCCCTGCTCAGCGCCTGACGGAGCTCCACACACACGCTGTGGAACCGCTTCACCGGGACCTGCACACGCACACACATGTGGATGTGTTCATCAGACAGTACAGGTGTGTGTGTGTGTGTGTGTGTGTGCGTGTGTGTGTGGATCCTCACCGTCCTGCAGGTGAGCTCTTTCTCCTGCCGCCGTCCTCTCTTCAGATTGGCCACCTCCAGCCTCAGGCTCCGCCTCTCCACCTCGGCCGAGTGCAGCCGTTGGCTGAAGAGCAGGAAGTGCTGCTGGAGAGTGGACACTAGGGCCTGATGGGAGGTCAAAGGTCAGCTGATGCCGGTGAACTGAAGTGTGTGTCTGCATGTGTGTGTGTGTGTGTGTGTGTGTAACCTTTGCATTTGGCAGAGGAGGCGTCCGTCCGATGAGTCCGATCCTTAGCCGGCCACTCAGCGAGTCCTCGGACGCCGCCGCATCCGATTGGTCAGGAAGGCCATCCAGGAGGCGGGACATCGCGGAGCGGGCGGCCGTCGTCACGTCCGGAGGGGCGGAGCCTAGAGAGGCAGAATGAGACGCAGCGTCTGTACAGACACACACACACGTGAATGACACACTGTGTGTGTGTGTGTGTGTGTGTGGTACCAGTGTGCGTTAGCGCCCCCTGCAGGTCGGCCATGGAGGACAGAATGACGGAGGAGAGGCTCTTAGAGCGGAGCCAGCGGGCACACGCCCCCTTACGACCTCCGTCCTCGTCTTTACCTGAAACACAGTTAAACATGTGGGAATAAAAATCAAATGTGATGTTACATGAATTCTTCAGCAGAAGAAGAACAAGAAGGAAGAGAAGAAGAGTTCTCCCACCCGAGCGTTCTGCCTCTTGACTCCTCCCTGTTGCCATGGTGACGCACTCGCCCGTCTCTAGCCTGAAGAGCACCGTGGAGCGTTGACCCAGAGCGCTCCACCTCCTCGCCGCCAGCACCGCACACACGCTCCTCCTCCACCGCCCCGCCGCCGCCCACCTCCTCCTCCTGCTCTCCTCCTCCTCCTCTTCCGCGCCTCCAAGAGCTCGAGCCAGCCGCCTCACCTCCTCCTCCAGCACCTCCCTCTCCGCCAGCCGCCTGCACAGCAGCGCCTTCTGCTGTCCGAGCGCACGGAGGCGCCGGCGGGCGTGAGCCAGCGCACCGCCCAGCAGGGCGCACGCCGCTAGGAAGGAGGCCAACTCCCCGCGGCCACGCGACAGGTCAGAGGTCAGCGAGGAGACGCGGCGCTCCAGGGAGGAGGCGCGGCCGCGGAGGGAGTCGCACTGGGAGCGATACAGCTGGGAGAGAGAGGGAAACCAGTTTGATCAGTGGGAGGAGCCACTGTGACCATCAGCTTGAGTTTTTAACCGGAATGACCTGAGACTACATTTCCCATGAGGCTTAGCTGAGGTTACATCACACCCGTCCAGCTCCTCCTGCAGGTGTGTGTGTGTGTGTGTGTGTGTGTGTGTGTGTGTGTGTTACCTGCAGCTCCTCCTGCAGGTGTGTGTGTGTGTGTGTGTTACCTGCAGCTCCTCCTGCAGGTGTGTCACGGTGTGTGTGTGTCGGCGGCTCCACGCCTCCTCCCGGCTCCTCGCGCTTTCCTCCAGACGGGACAACACACACTCCTGACTGCGCTGCAGCTCACGTACACACACACTCTTCCTGTCGCACACACTCTGCAGCTGGGCGATCTACAGAGAGAGAGAGAGGTGGACTCACCTGTCTGATTCGTGCTCATTGGACTGAATGTCCAACAGTCTGGTCCCCGTCTCACTGCTGCAGGACGACATGAAGTGCACCTCCCCCCCCCCCCCCTCCCCCTCCCCTCCCTGACCGGGCGGCTCACCTTGGTGTCGGCCCTGCCGAGGTCAGAGGTCAGCTGGTCCACCTGCTCTGTGATGACCTCGCACAGCTCCTCCCAGGTGAAATCTCCCAGGATGCTGTGGGGCTGATCCAGGAGGACACAGCGAGCCAGGAGGCGCTGGTAGAGGAGGTGCAGGAAGGAGAGATGGGCCTGAGACGCACACACACACACACACACACACACACACACACGCACACGCACAGTGAGGTGGTTTAATGTGTTTTCTTACATTATGACTTAATGATGTTACACTGAGGACGACACAGAGAGGACATGAGAGACAGAGACAAAGAGTCTTATACTTTATATCTTCACCTTCGACTCTTTCTGGTAGTATTCAGTTATCTTCTGGACCTCTGACGTCCTCTCCTCCCTCTCCTCCTTCTCCTCCCTTTCTCTCTCCCTCTCCTTCTCCTCCCTCTCCTCCCTTTCTCTCTCCTTCTCCTCCCTTTCTCTCTCCTTCTCCTTCTCCTTCTTCTCTCTCTCCTTCTCCTCCCTCTCTCTCTCCTTCTCCTCCCTTTCTCTCTCCCTCTCCTCCCTCTCTCTCTCCCTCTCCTCCCTCTCTCTCTCCAGCTGAGCCTGCAGACCTCTGCTCAGCGTGGACCAATCAGAGCTCTCGGTGCGAAGGCGCGTCACCTCCTCCTCCAGTGTGAGGGAGGCTTGCTGAGACTCCTGCAGAGGACAGACAGGAGACAAAGGGTCAGATAAAGACCTCCCCCTCCTCCTCCTCCTCCTCCTCCTCCTCCTCCTCCCCCGCTGGTCTGGGATCAGACGTCTACCTCCACCCGTCGGCTCTGATCCGAGGTCAGCCGTTGGAGAGTCTGGTTCTCCAGCAGCAGGTCCTGGACCTGTTGCTCCGCCCCCTCCAGTCTGAGGCGCTGTCCCTGCAGCGTGGCCTCCAGCAGCTGGGGCAGGTCTGCAGGGGGACCACGGCTCCCATCAGGCTCTGCAGGAGGGCCGGTGCCTGCACACACACACACACACACACGAGTAAGCTGCTGTGTGTGTGTGTGTGTGTGTGCAGGTGTGTGTGTGTACCTGTGGAGTTGTGTTGTTGCAGCGTGTCTCTGATGCTTTTCAAACATTCCTCTGCGTCTCTTCGTCTCTCAGCTTCCTGAACACAGAAGAAGAAACACGGTAATTAAACGCACCCTCCCCCCCACCCCGCGTGTGTGTGTTGGTCACCTGCTGCAGCAGTGTGTGTGTGTCGGTGTGCTGTCTCTTCTCCTCCTCGAGCCGCTCTGTGAGGTCAGAGGTCGACCCCCTCTCCGTCTCCAGGGCAACGCTGAGGTCAGACTTGCAGCGCTCGTACTCCCTCTGCAGCCTGGACACGCGCACATATCGGATGTGAGTTCCCTGATGTCCCACCGTGGGGCCCGTCAGTGAAGGCGTCTCACCGCTGCAGGCCGCGCTCCTTCTCCCCGAGCTGAGCCCCCAGGGCCTCCAGGCCGCGCCGCGCCTCCTGCTGGCCGGACCGCTCCGCCGCCAGCGCCGCCTCCAAGTCCCGCCCCCTTAGCTGCCGGGTCACATGGTCACACAGAGGGGTCACAACTGTAAACTGGACTTTTCTATTAGAAACAATTTGAATGTCTTCAACTGAAACTTTTTGTCCATCAGTAAACAGCGTCTCACTTCCTGTCTGCGGCTCATTGGACGCAAATCTTTAACACACCTGCACTTAAATACAGGTTTCACCAGACTAGTGGCTTTGTTGGGTCTATGATCAGCGAGGGATGTGTGTGTGTGTGTGTGTGTGTGTAACAGTGTGTGTGTGTGTGTCTGTGTGTAACAGTGTGTGTGTGTGTGTGTAACAGTGTGTGTGTGCGCTACCTGGACGATCTGGGAGTTAAACCTGGTCTCCAGGTGAGCTGCTCGCTCCGCCTCCACACTCGCCTGCAGAGACTTCACCTGCTGATCCATCACCTACGGAAACACACAAATGACCCCTGTGTCCTCCTCTCACCTCCTTCTCTGTCCGCTCCTCTCCTTACCTCCTTCTCCCTCCTGCTCCTCTCCTCTCTCTCCGTCAGGTATTTCAGTTCGCCGGAGAGTCGTCTGCTCACCTCGACCTCCTCGTCCTTCTGCTTCTGCAGCTCCGCCGTCCTCCTCTCAGACTCCTTAAGAACCTCCTCCTGACCCTGCAGGAGAGAGAGTGTGACAGTGTGTGTGTGTGTAACAGTGTGTGTGTGTGTGTGTGTGTGTGTGTGACAGTGTGTGTGTGTGTAACAGAGTGTGTGTGTGTGTGCGTGTGTGACCTGCAGTAGTCGGTGTAGTCGTTGGTTCTCTGAGCTGAAGCTTTGGATCAGTGTGTCATGCTCCTCCACCTCCTGCTGCAAAGCATGCTGGTCCTCGTCTCTGCTCCGCTGTGTGGTCTCCAGAGCTTTCTGCAGCTCTTGGACCTCCTGCTGGAGCTCTGCTGCTCGCTCTGAGGCCCAGACGAGCACACACACACACACACACACAATTATTGCCCGCTTGCTCTTCCACAGGTCTCAGAGGGTGCGTTTGATTCACTCACCTGTGAGCTCGGAGGCTCGGGCGGAGTCTCTCTGGCTCAGTGTCAGCTGATACTGAAGCTCCACCCGCTGAGCTTCTCCTCGCTCCACCAGGGACCTGAGACGGGTCAGCTGGGCCTGGAGCCGGCACACCTGGGGGGTACATGGAGTACTGTGTACAGCTGGGGGTACATGGAGTACTGTGTACAGCTGGGGGTACATGGAGTACTGTGTACAGCTGGGGGGTACATGGAGTAGTACCGTGTATACCTGGGAGGTACAGATAGTACTCTGTACTACGTCTCACCTCCTGGTTGTGGCAGGACATGCGCTCCAGTCTTTCTCTCTCCAGCTGATGGAGTCTCCACCTCCGCCCCCCAGACCGGTTGTCTTGTGCACCTCCTGCCTCCGCCCTCCTGCTCCTCCCCCTCTGTCCTCCTCCCTCTCCTCCTTCCCTCCTCCCTCGTCCCTTCTCTCTCTCCTCATGTTCCTCTTCTCTTCCCGCCTGCTGCTCCTTCTGTCTGCTGGTGTCTTTCAACCTGAGGAAACAGTGTATACATAGTTATGTATAAATACACGTGTACATGTATATACATAAGGAGTACAGGCTGCAGTCACTGAGTACTTGTCGGTCTCCTCCTCGGAGCTCCTGGAGGAGCTGACCGCGGCCCTCGGCCTGCTCCCCCGGGGCTCCGCGGGGCCGCGCCTGCTCCGCTCCGCCGGGTCCGTCTGCATCGCTGCGTTGCTGTGGTTACGCTGGTTACGCTGGTTACGGTGGTTACGGTGGTTACGCTGGTTACGCCCAGTTCGCTTGCCTGGCGTTGCCGTGACAACCGACCAAGTCTCCGTTCACAAATCTAGTGAACGTTCAACATCGCGTCGCCGAGTGAAACTCCAGCTGGGAAAAAACGTAAGACGGTTCATGAATCAAGCGCATCTTTGTTGTACATAAGTACATGTTGTTGTCAACAACCTGCAGCTGATATTTTGAGCATTTAAATGTCTACTTGCTGGTTACAATTCAACAGAAGTCCGCAAAGATTCTCTATTTATTTACCTCGTCAATAACTCCAGGTTCATATCAAATCTTAACGTTTCGTGAATGAAGGTTTGTTTCAATCCAACACACAACACAAGCGAACAAAGACCCGTTTCACGGATAATATTCTAAATGTTCGTTTTTTAGTCCCCCAAACGTACTTTAACTAGCAGGAAGATACAAACGTCCTTTATAGCATCAATGAGAAATCTGGAAACGAAAAGTGGACTTTTTAAAACACTTACAGCGACATTGGTCCAGCAGCCGTTTGAATCTGACGCCATCTTTAGTGTCCATACGTCATATCCGCTTCACTCCTGGGTTGGCTTGACAACCGGCCGAAGGTGACCACCCACTTCGTTACGTCATATATTTATTTATTTAAGATAGTAACGAGTCTGATAAAAAATAACAATGGATTAAATTAACTCAAACTAAAAAATATTTTGTGAAATTACATATTTAAAAATAATCAAATATGAGAAAATACATATTTTAAACACGAATGAGGAAACTGTAGCACTTAAATTGTACTTTTTATGGTTCTTATCTACAGCAAATTGTAAGCTTATTTGATGAAATCGCACTTTCTTGTTTCTTGCTCTTCTGAGTTCGTGTCCTTATGGTTGAATGCACCTGTTATTATTTTATTTTTGTACAACATATACGTGTGTTTAACGCAGAGCTGCCGAGGAGGGCGCTGTAACCTCTCTTCACTGGCAACGCTACCGTCTAATTCAACGTAGAAGAAGAAAGACAGCAAACAACATGGCGGCGCCCGCAGAACACGTTGAAACCAAATCCACAGAGACGGACACAACAGAAGCTCCGGAGACCTCAGACTCGGAGCCCGCGGGTCAGGACCCGGATCCGGACCCGGATGAGGACGAAGACGAGCCGGCCGAGCCAAAGATCCGGGACACCCCGGGTGACATCCGGCTGGAGGCGATCGCCAACACGGTGGCCCTCCACCCGAGCCGGGACGTCCTGGTGTGCGGGGACGTGGACGGGGACATCTACGCATACTCGTACTCGTGCACGGAGGGCGAGAACCGGGAGCTGTGGTCCTCCGGGCACCACATGAAGTCCTGCCGCCAGGTGCGCTTCTCCGCCGACGGGCTGAAGCTCTACAGCGTCTCGCGGGACAAAGCCGTGCACCTGCTGGACGCCGAGCGCGGGCACCTGGTGACGAGGATCCGCGGCGCGCACGCGGCCCCCATCAACAGCCTGCTGCTGGTGGACGAGAACATCGTGGCCACCGGAGACGACGGGGGGACCCTGAAGGTCGCACGGAAGTCCCGATATTGAGATTGAGGGTCAGAGTGTGCTGATGGCGAGAAGAAGCAGATGTTGCTCCTCGTGAATGTAACCTGTTGTGGTTGTTTTGTGAAGGTGTGGGACATGAGGAAGGGGACGGACATCATGGATCTGAAGCAGCACGAGGACTACATCAGTGACATCGCAGTGGACCAGGCCAAGAGGATCCTCCTAACGACCAGGTGATGACCACCTCGCCACCACGCAGGACCCTTCTGAAGTTCAGTCTCCGATGAATCAATCACGACCTTGTGCTTCCGATGAGGAGCTCCGCATTGGAAACTGTTTATTTCTGGAAAGATTTTGAACGAGACGTGAAAATAAAATGTTCCCTCTCGTTACGCGCAGCGGCGACGGCACCATGGGCGTCTTCAACATCAAGCGCCGGCGGTTCGAGCTGCTGTCGGAGTACCAGAGCGGCGACCTGACCTCGGTGGCGCTGATGAAGCACGGCAGGAAGGTGGTGTGCGGCTCCAGCGAGGGGACCATCTACATCTTCAACTGGAACGGCTTCGGCGCCACCAGCGACCGCTTCGCCATCAAGGCCGAGTCGGTGGAGTGCATCGCCCCCATCACCGACAGCATCATGTGCACCGCCTCCATGGACGGGTACATCCGGTGAGTCCGGGTCCCGTGGTCCTCTTCTTTAAGTCCATGCTGGTACTTCTGTGGTCTTCTGGAGGTCTGTCCTGGTCTACAGATCTGATCTTAATTGTGTCCTCCATCAGGGCCCTCAACCTCCTTCCCAACCGGGTCCTCGGCTGCATCGGGCAGCACGTCGGCGAACCCGTCGAGGAGCTGGCCAAGTCCTGGGACACCCGCTTCCTGGTGAGCAGCGCCCACGACCAGCTGATCAAGTTCTGGGACATCTCGGGTCTGCCCGGCACCAAGGTCAACGAGTACCGCAAGAGGAAGAAGAAGGACGAACGCATGAAGTCTCTGTCCAAGAAGGCCCACGGGGACAACAACTTCTTCTCTGGCCTCGTGGAGGAGACGAAGGAGGAGGAGAAGGAAGAAGAAGAAGAAGAGGAGGAGGACAGCGACAGCGATTGAGCAGCAGTCCTAGGCAGTGAAACCTAAGCTGAGCGGTTGGTCCTCAAAAGGTTCCTGCTGTGGAGCAGAATGGAACCGTTGGTGCTGCTGTGTTTGGGGATGTTGGTTAGTCCTCACAGACGTGAACATCAGAAGAGATGAAGGTCCAGAAGATTACAAGCTCTTCTGTTCATGCGCCACAGATGAGAAGTGACACTAAAATAACGGGAGGTCTTGACAATGAAGACACGTCTGGTCACACTAGTGATCAGATTGATCCTAATTTAAATGTAGTTCTTTATTTATGGACAGCTGCTTAAATTTGGAAAACATTTAATTACGTATTTTGTCAAAAAAATATATGTTTTGGGGCATTTTTGTCTGCCGAGTAAATGTTCATGTACTCACATTAAAAGCTTTTTTTATATGTACGTCCTACTTTTTTTGTATTTTCCAGTCACAGCCTTAATATCATCATTTAGTAGTTGATGTATATTGAGCGTTAAATACTAAATTCTGACCAACTAGTTACTTTCTCAGCTGTTAGTGAAGTGAAACATTTAATGTGCATCTTTTAGACGTAGAAATTAGCATTAAGAGGAAATAAATGACTAGACTGTACTTGCTTGGAGGGTGATATATTTTATCAAGTATGGTAATTACCTCTAACTGATACAAATACACCAAAAAATACACTCACTTCTATCAACCGCAGAATCAATACAATAATGCTGAGTCTCTTTAATATTTTTTAAGTTATTCATTTTACATTACATTACAGGTCATTTAGCAGACGATTTTATCCAAAGCGACTTACATTACACTTTAAACCCATGGCTTTTTTTCACATTTTTGCCTGGGGAGCAACTAGGGGTCAGGTGTCTTGCTCAGGGACACTTCGACATGTAACTTGAATAAAAATAAACAAAGTATTCTTAAACTGTTTATAATTATATTATTTATGATAATTCGCTACTTAATGCTTATATTCAATTACATTCAAATACATAATGCAATCGCTCAATCTAATCTAATTTTCTTACATTCTGATAATTCGTTTTCTCGGTTACCCCCCCAGATGGTACAGTCTGCTTCCCTGGTGGTACAGTCCAACCAATAGGCGCGAAAAGCTGCCGTGCGTCACGTGACGCGCACCGCTCGGCTCAACATGGCGACGAGAGGTTTCAGTGTAGCTTAGTAACAAGAAGCCTCCCGTCCGAACCGAAGAAAGAGCCGTTTATCTCGCGTTTCCGGACCCGCTCGGGCTCGGCTCTTTCTCGGTTAGTACGAATCCCGGTGTCCCGTTAAAACGCACCTTCTCAAATAAAGCAGGAACCAATGAACGCAGTTCTACGGGCAGCTAGCTTAGAGTTAGCATCAGCGCTAGCATGGTGTATTGGTAAACAGTGATTGACACGCTGCTCCGAGGACGTGTTTTACCTCACGCGGATTACCAAGTGAGTGTTAACTGCTACAAGCGGCCGTGAATCCGATGGTTTCTACTTAGCAACAGTTATTTGATCGACTGTTTGTCACATGACAACAGTTCGTGATCTAGTCTTTATAGAATCTGGAGGCATTCGTTCTTCATAAGTGTTCATAAGTGTCTGTGCTTCTACGCCAGCTTCTGCTTCGGGACCGAGCTCTGCAGCAGCAGGATGTCGGGGAGAAGCAGAGACCAGTACAAACAGGGAGACCTGGTGTTCGCCAAGATGAAGGGCTTCCCCCACTGGCCTGCGAGGGTGCGACCGCGCGCGCACACACACACACACACACGGACACGCGCATACACGCGCACACGCTGGGAGAGTTAAAGTGACGCCGCTCTGTGTGTGTGTGTGTTCAGATCTTTAAGCCGGACAACGGAAACAAGAAGCGAGTCCTGGTCTTCTTCTTCGGGACCCACCAGATGTACGTATGTATGCTCATTGGTGACGTCATCGGCGACGCTGTTGATGACCCCCCCTCACTCCCCTCTCGCCCCCAGAGGTCAGGTCCTCCTTAAGAACATCGTCCCCTTCGTCGGGAACAAGATGAAGTACGGCTGCGGCGTCCGCAGCAAAGGCTTCTCCGAGGGCATGTGGGAGATCCAGAACACGCCAGGAGTCGGCAGTAAACCCAAAGTGAGCGTGTTCCTCCTCTGAGGATTATTGTCTATGTTTGGTTCATCCACAGACTTTGCACCCAAACACCCTCAAGGTTAACACAGTTGACGCCTCACACGATCTGCCCATTGATGTTTCACCCCACAAAGTATGAATATTTAGTCACATGTTGCCTTTCTTGTCCTGTTTCAAAAGTTCTGTGTTTAATTAATAAACCTTTTCTGTTCTGTTGTGTCTTCAGGCTCCAACCAACACGCTAACTGCCGCTAAAGCGCCACCCGCTAAAGCGCCACCCGCTAAAGCCCCACCTGCTAAAGCCCCACCTGCTAAAGCCCCACCCACTAAAGCCCCACCCGCGACCTCTTCTGATAAACCCTCACAGGACCAACTTAAATCCACCGCCAGCAGCAAGCGGCTCACCCGTAGACAGGAAGCGGCGAGGGTGTCGCTGAGATCCGCGCCGCAGAAAACGCTGGAGTCCAAACCGTCGTCGGGCGAGACCTCCGCCAGCACGAGGAGCAGGAGGTCGGCCGCTGGAGGGAGAAGTGAGGAGGAGAAGGAGGTGAGAGAGGAGTTTGTGTGATTCATGAAGATTTGAGTTTGTCGGAGGAACCAAACTTTGCCCGAATGAGCGTTTTTCCATCCGTCTCTTTTTTCCAATTAAAAAAAAAAGTTTTAAACGTTTTTTCAAAGTGTTTATTTGAGGGGGAAGTGATCAAACGCGCTTCACACGGTTTCTCTTTGGTTTGTTTTTGTCAGGTTGATGGCGAGCAGCACGAGGAAGACGACCACCTGTTGTGACCTCGACAGGTGAGACACACACACACACACACACACACACACATACACGCACACAGACACACACACACACACACACACGCCATCAGCATACATGGAGGAGTTAAAGCTCTCTGCTTTCATCTTTCAGTGAGCGAGAAGCCGCAAGCTGCTCCGACACTAATGTCAAAGAACAAGGGAGGACCGAGAGAAGAGGAGGAGTCATCACAGAGCCAAGGAGTCAAGAAGAGGAGAGACAAGGAGGAAGAGAAGGAGTCATCACAAGGCCAAGGAGTCAAGAAGAGGAGAGACAAGGAGGAAGAGAAGGAGTCATCACAAGGCCAAGGAGTCAAGAATAAAGACAAGGGGGAAGAGAAGGAGTCATCACAGAGCCAAGGTGTCAAGAAGAGGAAAGACAAGGAGGAAGAGGAGGAGTCATCACAGGCCCAAGGTGTCAAGAAGAGGAAAGACAAGGAGGAAGAGAAGGAGACATCACAGACCCAAGGTGTCAAGAAGAGGAGAGACGACAAGGAGGAAGAGAAGGAGTCATCACAGGCCCAAGGTGTCAAGAAGAGGAGAGACGACAAGGAGGAGGAGAAGGAGTCATCACAGACCCAAGGAGTCAAGGAGGAAGAGAAGGAGACATCACAGACCCAAGGAGTCAAGGAGGAAGAGAAGGAGACATCACAGACCCAAGGAGTCAAGAAGAGGAAAGACAAGGAGGAAGAGAAGGAGACATCACAGACCCAAGGAGTCAAGAAGAGGAAAGACAAGGAGGAAGAGAAGGAGTCATCACAGAGCAAAGGAGTCAAGAAGAGGAGAGACGACAAGGAGAAAGAGAAGGAAACAAATGAGGCCGGTGGTGAAGGAAGGAGAAAGGAGACGACGGTGAGGAAAGGAGTGAAACAAAAGAAAGAGGAGGAACAGAAGCAAGGTGAAGGTGTGGAGGGAGAAAGAGGAGCAGAGGTAAAAGAGACACAGAAAGAGGAGGAGCCATCAGAGCGCCGAGGAGTCAAGAGGAAGAGCGACTACGGCGAATCAGCGAAGGAAGAGGAGGAGAAACCGAAGAAGACAAAGCCAGATGAAGGAGGTGTGGACGGACATAAAGAAACGATGAAAACGCCAGAGGGCCGAGTGATGAAGACGAGGAGAGCCGGGAAAACACAACGAGGAGGAGGAAAGGAAGCGGAGAGGACAAGGAGGCAGACTAGGTCAGGTAGCGAAGGAAAGAAAATGATGACAGTAAAGACGGAAACCGAGCGGGACGGACAGGAGGAGGAGGTGACGGGGGAGAAAGGGAGCAAAGGGACGAAGGCGAGGAGAGCAGAGGAAGAGGAGGAGCCGGGGGGCGGCGCTGTGGACGAGGAGGTGAAGATGCTTCCCGCTCTTTGTCCTTTTGGTTAAAAGAGTCTCGATGTCTTACGTCCCCTTTGTGTCCCCTGCAGAGACAGCGCCGCCTGGCGGCCAAGAGAGAATGTCTGCTGAGGTCTCTGAGGGGCCTCCTGAAGGCCGGCAGAGGAGGGAGGAGGTCCCAGTAAGGAGCGCGCGCACACACACACACACACACACACACACACACACACACACACACACACACAGCAGAGGGTTAAAGGAGGTGTCACATGGTCTTTTTCTAAACACTCGTCAGGAAGAAGAGCAGAGGCGGAGCCAACAAGAAGGTGGAGGAGCAGAAGAAGAGAAGAAGTCAGGCGGCAGCGTTGGAGGAGAAGAAGAAGAAGAAGAGTCCGACCGGCAGGAAGTCTGTCGGCAAGAAAGAGAAAGAAACGACGACGGAGGTGAAACCCGAAGGAGGTGCTGAGAAAGACGAAGAGGAGAAGGTGTTGGGGAAGGACGAGTGCAAGACAGAGAGGGACAAGAAGACAGACGGCGGAAAAACTTTGGGTGACGTGAAGACAAAAGAAAAGGAGGAGGGGTCGAAGACGGAGGAGAGGAAGATCATCGGGAAGATCGTGAAGGCAACGTGTGGAGGAGGAACGAAGGTCCAGGTGAAGACCATCATGGGAGGAGCAGCGGCAGAAGAGAAGAAGAAGAAAGAGGAGAAGGAGAAGAGGGCGGGGAAGCTGAAGGAGGCGGCGAGAGAGACAGACAACAGGAAAGAGAAGAAGAACAGCGAAGAGGAGCCCAGAGCTACGGCAAAATCCCAAGAGAAGAAGAAGAAGAAGGAGTTCGAGGCGGGGAAAGCGGCACCGACTGAACACGAGATGGAGAAGAAGAGCGGCAAAAGCGCAGAAGAAGACGCGCCGCTGACGAGGAAGCTCTGCGCCGAATATGAGACGAAACCACAGAAGAAAAGCGACAACCCGGTGGCGGAGGAGTCCGGAGGCGCCGCCGCCGCCGCCAGCGAGGAGGCGCAGAGCGGCTCGTCGGGTGGAGCCGAGGCGGAGAGGCGGAGTCCCGCCATGACGCTGACGGACTCCACGCTGCACCGGATCCACGGAGACATCCGGATCTCCCTGAAGACCGACAACCCCGTAAGACACGCCCACTTTTCTGTGACGTGTCACTGGTGGACAGAGACACTAATCACACACCATGTTTCCCTTGTACTTCCTGTTTACGCATGAACGGTCACGTGACATTTGCTTAGCCTAACCTTGTCCTCCCCTAAAGTCCACCTGTCTCCGTCTGTCCTCCAGGACATCAGGAAGTGTCTGACGGCGCTGGACCAGCTCAGCATGGTCTACGTGACGTGCAAACACGTCCAGAGGCACAGCGAGCTGGTCTCCACCCTCCGGAAGGTGAAGCGCTGAGGCGTCCTCATAAATACTTGTCCTCATACTTTTGGACACTTGTCCTCACACTCGCGTGTTTCCGTGTCCTCCGCCCAGCTGCGCTCCTACCGGGCCAACCGGGCCGTCATGGACAAGGCGGCCATGTTGTACAGCCGCTTCAAGAACGCCTTCCTGGTGGGGGAGGGCGAGGAGGTGGTGAGCGCCGCCTTCCTGCGCTCGCTGCTGGAGGAGAAGGAGCGGGAGGAGGCTCAGCGGGCGGAGAGGGGACGGGGCAAAGGGGGGAGACCCAGGCCCGGGGGGGAGGACACCCGAAGGGGGGGAGGACGAAAACGGGGGAGTGAAAAAGGCCAATTTTGGTTTTTTTTTTTTTTATTATTCCCCGGAAAAGTATTTTATTTCCCCCTTTCCCCAAGGAAAGAATTAAAAGCCCCCCCCCCCCCCCCCCCCACAGGTCCCTGAAGGTCGCGTGAGGGTGAATTGTAAGATCGGTGTGGACCAGTCTCTACGTTACCTGAATACGTCCTCGTCTCAGCAGGACGATGGTTTAGCATTAACATAATTAACCCACTGAGCATTAACCCCCACGTGACCTTTGACCTCCGTCGTTGCCCCTCAGCTGTCTCTTGAAGCTACCGTACCTTTAAGAAGCCGACGTAGCCTTAACCTCCCTCCGCTACGGTGTCCTGCAGACCTCACGGGGACATCCTGTCCTCACGTTGTCCTCCAGATGTTCAGGTCGCTACTCTCTCATTTTAACGTTAGAGCACACGTGATTATTTATAAGTATGTTGGTTTGAGACGTGACCGGGGCTGATGGGAAACGTAGTTTTAATGTGAAAGGGGCTTTAATTGAAGCATTAAGCGGTTCTGCACCGATTTACTGCTTTTCTACAACTTTGTACAGCGAGATGTTTTATTGTGTGTTTTTACCGTGAGATGTTTGTTGTTGTTTACTCTGTGACAAACAAACAGATGTGGTGAAATGTGCTGCTTTGTTCCAGATGTTTAAGATGCTGCATTTACGACGGAGCAGATTAAGAATAAAAATCTTTCTCTTTATTTGTGTCTCTTTGTGGATTCAAACAAACTTCAGTTTTATCTGATACAAATATTTACAGTTTGAGTGTAAAACGTCAGCAAAATATTGCCTTGCATAAAAGTACCAGATGTACCACTGGAAACGTACTGCAGTATAAGTACAACAAGTACTTCTGAGATGTACTGCAGTAGAAAGTATGTGTACTCAAAATATGAATGTACCATTTAATACATTTAACTGATACAAAACGAGAAAATATCACCGATCCGTCTCTCTCTCTCTCTCTCTCTCTCTCTCTCAGTCTCTCTAAGTCTCTCTCTCAGTCTCTCTCTCTCTCTCTCAGTCTCTCTCTCTCTCTCTCTGTGTCTCTCTCTCTTTAGAGACGTGCACCAGGAAACCTAGAGGTGTGTTTTCAGTTCCGCTGAGAAAGAGAGACATAGAGACAGAGAGCGAGAGACATAAAGGGAGAGACAGAGACCGGGAGGGACAGAAGGACGCGCATTGACACCGTAACGGATCAGAACCGGGAGGACGCGTGCGTGTGAGACATGGCCGCGCGGTGCTCGTGATAGAGACGACCGGAGGAACCCTGCGGACGCGAAGGAGGACAGGCACCGGGCGGACATGGCCCACGTAGGCAGCGGAGCCGCAGAGGAGGAGGTGCGACGCACGCACACACACACACACTCACACTCACACACACACACACACACGCACACACTCACACACACACACACACACGCGTATTCCTACCGCGCGTCGCGTTTGTCCTCCGTAGTGTCTCACTTAATGACTCTTTAAAAGACACGTGATGGTCTCTGTCACAAGGACCGCGTCTCCCACAATGCATTTCTTTATTCATTCTAAATGTGTCATTACAACATATAGAGAGTATACAAAGCACAGGATTATACCACCGTGGAACTTCATAATGAGTCCTGTATTACTTTGAGTACATTTCAGCTGATAATACTCTTGTACTTTTACATCTTGGAGTCAATGCGTACTTCTAAACTGTGGTATGAGTACTTTGAGGACCACAGTCCTCAAATCAGTGTTGTGTATTTTATCACCTTGTGTAATTGTGTGATAGCGTCTCCATGGCGACGCTCCCAGTCTAGCAACCGGTGGTCCTCCTTGTGTCCACATTAGTCCCAGGGACCTTTGCCTGACTCGGGTGGAGGTGTTGTGTCTAAGTGGGCGGATGCTGGCGGCAGCGTTCCCAGTTAAACCAGATGTTCCACTCTGGGTTCTCACTGCTCAGACTGGGAGCGGCTGGAGGAGCGGCACGAGTCCTTTTGGGGTTCTCAAAGGACTCTCAGTGGGGGTTCTAGAGAGGAGGGTTCTATTAGTGGTTCTAGTCAGCAGAAGGAAGAGTTCCACGGATCTCCATCAGAGGTTCTAGCGGTTCATTGGAGGTTCTGTGGATCTGTCCTTAGCCTTTAGAAGAGAATTCCTGCTTTTAAAGGTCATCAAGGTCCCTTCATATGTAATTTAGGAGGTTTTGAGACGTCATTATTGGGTCCTAGGAGCTTAAGGAGGTTCTAGTGAGTCAAGTCAAGGGGGGCGTTATTTCAAGATGATTCTCCCAGGCTCTATGCAGATCATGTAGATGATCTAGATGTTTCTGTGGAACTGAAGGTGTCTTAGGAGATTCTAATGGGGTTCAAGTGGTCCTTCATGGGTTCCATGGATCTGTTCTATAGGAGCATTTCAACTGGCTCTCTGAGTCTTTCCTGAGGTTCTAGACGTCCATGAGGGGCCCCTCACAGATCTCTGAAGTTCCCTGTGGAGGTCTAGTGGCTCCATCGAGGGCTTTGTTGAACTTGAAGGGGTGTCGATGTGCTTTTAGGGGTTCCTGAGATCTGTTTGGGGTTCTAATGGGGTTAAAATGCCCTTTCTTTGTTTTCACGCAGACGCCACTGGACGATGCGTTCAGGGTCCCGGTATTCGGGCGTCAGGCGATGCTCCCTCTGTCGGCCTCGGCTCTAACTCATCGCATCACGGAGGAGTCTCAGCTGACTCGGGCCGAGCCGCCAGGAATGTGGTTCACGAAAGGCCTAAACACAGAGGGAAGGTTGTGGTCTGGGCTCGTTGCTAGGCAACGATGGACAGGACAAACAGGACGTCTCTGCTGTCCACTGCGGCGGCTTCGACCCGGCGAGCATCGCAGAGCCGATCCATCAAAATGAGAATGCAAAGCTCTCATTGCACAACGCTGCATAGCTTCGCTAACAAGCAGCTAACCGCATCACACCTAGAAGGGATTCCTAAGAAAACACAAGGAGACCACTGTCCGTCTCTCCGCGGCGAGACTCCCGTCGCCTCCCATTTCCTCTGCAGGGTCAGAGGTCGGCCGGCATCGAGGAACCCGTGGCCAGAATGTGGACCTCTGGGAACATTGTGTTATTGGAAGTGTTACGACGTCTTCTTGTTATCTTTGAGAAGGTACGAGAATGTGAGACGGGTGTTGAGATGCTCCTTGGAGGAGGTTCAACGGGTCGTCCAGGGAGTTTGGGTCAACTGGGTTCATCCTGTGGTTCCAGGCGATAGAAAGTGGGTTCCACGGGTTCCACGGGTCCCCAAAAGGGTCATCAAGGGGATTCCAGCTTGCTGAATGTTTCAGAATGTAATCTGCGTTCATGGAGGTTCCTCTGGAGTTTAACACGTCAGTGTCAGTGGCTGAACTTTGCATAGTCAGGACTCAACCTCAACTTTATGGAAATCTGGTCTGTGTATCGCAAAGCCGGCGCCTGGCTGACCTCTGATCATCAACATGTTCTCAGACACTCGTGTTACTGTCGAGCTGTGAGATGAGAACGTTTGTGACCCAAACACCATCCTTAAAAACCTTCAAGAGCATTGGTTCTGGTCTGGGGATTTTGTTCATCTCCAGCACCACGGTGGGTTCCAAGGGTCTAAAGTTTGTCGGCTCTTCTCTGAGAGACGGAACCACCATGAAGGTTCAATGGGTTTTGAAGTTGGTTCTGAGGATCTTGACGCTCACCCAGAAGCTTTGGATTCCTTCGAATGGAAGGTCGTTTGCTGCGCCAGTATCTGTAAGGGAGGTCCACGGGTCATTCTGTGGTTCTGATGGGGACTGGTTGGGTTCTTTAGGAGGTTTAGACACTTTCAGCACTCAGTCAAGACGTCATTGACCAAGTTTGAGGGGTTTGGGGGGTTTGGGGCTTCAGCTTCAGTCACCAGCGTCAACGAATCAGTTCCACGTCCCCTTCTGCTCCCTCCGACGGGGCGCCACAGGTCTCCGTGGAGGTTCCAGAGGTCCTCCGGGTGCTCTGGCCGACCCGGAGCCTCCCACAGGGCTTGTGTGTCTCTCTGGTGATGGGACACAGTGTGCAGGTCTTCACTAATTGATTAGAAGCCTCTGTGACGTCCACTCGTGTGTAACAACATACGGCCGCCGGCTTTTTTCCACATCTCCTGTGTTCTTCAGGAAACACACACACACACTCCCACTAGCACACACTGATCACACACACGCACACGCTAAACACACACGGTTGTGTAGCTGGTTCTTTCTGCTGCGGTTTTCTGCAAGAATCCATTGTGTCAGGATTTAATGTTCTGGAGCTTCCGGTTCTGCAGCATTCGTCTTCACACAACCAACACACAACACACACAACAACACACACACACACACAAACTGAAAACAACACAGTTGGAGAGATCGTGTGTCCGTACGAGAGTGTGAAGAGAGGACGAGCGTCTGGATTCACACCTCCCATGATCCTCTGCTCCTCAGGCCATGAGGAGAACATCATGACATCTCCAGTAGCTCTCAGCCTCTGCTGACGGTTCTTCTCTGGGAGGTCGTGTTGAGACTGATCCAGGATCAGTTAAAGGCTCCTCACAGCGAGCGCAAACACGCCTGCCAGCACAGACACTGTGTGTGTGTGTGTGTGTGTGTGTGTGTGTGTGTGTGTGTGTGTGTGTGTGTGTGTGTGTGTGTGTGTGTGTGTGTGTGTGTGTGTGTGTGTGGCTGCAGCTGCACCCTATTACGTAAGAAGCCTCTGGGCTGCTATTATTAGCTGCTACTGGGGCTGCAGAGACTGTGTGTGTGTGTTAAGGTTAACATTGTAACCTCTGGCAGAGCTTTGACTTCATATATCAATTATATATATATACATATATATATATACATACATATATATACATATAGATGTGTATATATATATATATATATATATATATATATATATGTGTATATATATGAGTGCACTGAATCAATCATGGCGTTTTTTATCACATTTACCCTGAAAAATACAACGATATCCTGAGAAATAAATTAAAACAAATAATAAATGATAAAAAACTTAGAAATAGGCCTAAAAAAGCTATTTTGAGAAATTAATATAAAAAAATAAATATAACAATAAAACACAGATATTTTAGAAATAACGCTGGAAATACATTTTCTAACAAATGTATATATATATAAAAACAAAAAATGAAGAAGTACCCGCAAAATTCAAATATAACCTTTTGAGAGTTTAAATAAATAACAGTACAAATGAATGAAAACCCAGATAACTGAAATAAACAGTGATGATGAAATACAAAAAGAGGTTTTCCATTAGAACAACCTCTCTTCCTCCGTGCTTCTGGTACTGGAATCTAATTGACTGTTTCTGTGTTTTCTAGGACTGCTTTGAGGACGCATACGACAGAATACCTGCGTGAGTACACACACACCCACACACACACACACATACACACACACACACACACACACACAGGAGATATTCATCCACCAACCAACACAGGAAGTGAGTGAAAGTGAAAGAGACTGGAGGTAGACAGGAAATGACTGTGTGTGTGTGTGTGTGTGTGTGTGTGTGTGTGTGTGTGTGTGTGTGTGTGTGTGTGTGTGTGTGTGTGTGTGTGTGTGTGTGTGTGTGTGTGTGTGTGTGTGTGTCTGCAGGGCGTCTCAGATGGACCTGCACACAGCCATCCAGGAGACTCAGTGTGCTCTCAATCTGGTCCTCAACGACAAGTTCTCTGAAGCCCTAGACCTCCTCAAACCATGGTAACCACGGCAACATGCGTGTGCCATGTATGACACACTGCAGTGTATCTGTATTCATCACATTTTGTACTG